AATACCGTGCCTTCCGCGAGCCACCAGCAAAGCAGCAGAAATCAATGGCTTCATCCAAATGGCAAGGAGTGGTAGCTAATTTCATGCAGAAGTCTTGCGGATTCCCCTGACAAATCTGCCGCGAACACCCGCAGACAAACACTGCGGAAGCTACTTATCAACCACATGTTGTGTGTCCATCGCAGCAGATCTAAAGACTAGCTGAAGTCAAACACACGTATCAAAGCTCCAGCCCCAACTGGACTCGCTGGGAAATCATAGGGAAGAGAAAGCTGGCGCGCTCCGAAACCAATGCACGCAAGGGCTGCTGGATGTATCTGCAACCAAGGTGTTCCCGCGTCTGCAACCAAGGCGCGCCAGCGGTTATCCTCTACACATGCACAGCTGCAAAATCGGCAACCAACCCGGCGGCGGCTCAGCGGAAATTTCTTGTCTTCGCACAGAAGGCACGGGGCGTGACATGCGCGAGGCCGAACTAGAGGACCGTCATGGGTCTAGTCTCAGTCGCCCGCGTTTTTCGCATTCGGGTTGCAGCATCCAACACTCAAGGCGATGCGCTAGAAATCTATTCTGGCTCAGCTAACTTGTCAGACTGCAGCTCCAAGTGAAAACCACAGCTTTTTCACTCAAGATAGGACAGCGAGGACAAAACACTCCGCTTTCGCGTGCGCAAAAGGAGCTGTGGTGAGGTGCTTGTTGATTGCATTGGTCAACCAGCACGCCCAGCACTACATCTGAAGCGCTGGCTGGCTAGCTACCAATCGAAACCACCACATCAAGAGTACCTGAATCCCCTCGCAGCAAACGCTTCACGTGGAGATCAACCATACTAGATTCTGGCAAACCACTCTGCTATTCATCATTTGCCACCAGGACTCACGATGTCCTTTCCCTTGAGCACATCAGGGTACTTCCTGAACAGTCAGTCAGCCACTGAGCCAGGCAGCAGCAAATAGGATGAAAGCGGGCCGTGCTGTCGCAGAAACTGGCCCGCCACGAGGCCGACAATGGAAAAGCCTGTTTGCTAAGGTTGACCCCAGAGGGGGTGGGCTCTCTGGTTTTGGTGGGATTTATCACTTTTGGAGTGGGAACCCCCCCTCTCTGAATAAAACAGGGGTTTATTCATCCGGGGTCAACATTCTGCAGCGTCCATTCTTTCTCATCCGGCTGTCCCCAAACAGCAAAGGCACAAGCAACTCTGCTCAGGGCCGTCCAGCCGCAAAAAAAGCGGTGCATTGACACAACAAATCACGGAAATTGCGCAAATGAAATGAGGGGTCACCGAAGAATCTTCTTCATCACGAAGTTGGGGTGCCACTTGCACTAGGTCAAGCATGAGCAAACTCATGTTGTTGTTTCCCGGTGGTGTCCTCAACGCAGACACCAAGGCACAATGGATGGGGTGAGTTCTATCATGCTGTCATTCCCCCAGAAACACATGCCCTGGTGATCTGTGTGGTGTGTGTTGTCCTTGTATATTTCCCCCCGCATCTCTGCAGACAGCCGCAGCGAGACTTGAAATGTGCTCGCACGAGCGGGCGCTGTGGCCCCAACGGCGGGTAGCAGAGATTCCATGCCTGTCACACGTGGCCTAGTGATCAGGTAACGAAGTTGCCGGAGGCTAGATGAGCGACGACAAACACCCCAAGGACACTCCAATGGAGGCATCGTTTTTATTGGCCGCTATCATGTCCAATGTCTGGCAATACATGTCTCTGACTACGGAGGTTTAGAGTGGCTCTAATCTAACTTTCAGGATTGGCCACTGTTTTCAACTTGATCAAACAACGATTGGCGCAGTCTCCTTTGTGTTTGCCAGGCTCCCTCTAAAGTGGGCCAACATCCGTGTTTGTTTAAAGCACAAGGCATGGTGTTTTCGTGCCACCCTGGCTTGCACAAACTAGGATAGCTCGCACCAATTCCAATGCCCAGAATCTTCGCGTCCAAACTTCGAGGTCCTGTTTCCCTGCCGAGATCAGGGTTCCACGGCAACGGCGGCACATTTGAACAGAAACGTCGGCCACTCACCTGCTGAAAGTTGTTTAACTTTTCGTGGGTTAAACGGATTTCCCTACGAAACCCTAAAAAGCTAGAAAGCTAAGAAACCGGATGGCTCGCAACAAGGGTTCACTCTGTGGGGAGCTTTCAAGCGGTAACCAAGGGTCACCAGCAACTTGGCCGAACCACCCAAAAAGAGCCATCTGTCCGTTCGCCAGGACTTCTGGATGTCTTTTGATTTTTTGTCTGAGCTGGGCAACAGCGATCCAATCCATGTCAGAGAGCAGGCTTCGTAAAAGAAGGATGCTGCAATCCTCGAGAACAGGAATCTCTGCATCTAGGTATCTAGGTTGCAGGGTCCCCTGAACGACCTCTGCACGAGTGTGATTCGGATGGGGTGTCCCTCTGCATGTGTCGTTCTTCTGCAGGGATCCCTACAGTATACACCTGAACATTGCCTTGTAAATGGTGGTGTCCCTTTATTTTGGTGGAAAAGGCCATGTTTCAAATGGGCAAAATGTATTTTTTGAGGAGCCCTGTTCCGATGGGAAGGTTTTCTTGGTCATCTTCCAATGGGCATCGAGCGAAAGGCCACCAATCCAAAGAACTTGCCCTTGAACTGTCCTCCCACGTGCGCCGGTAGAGGCTGCAACAAATGAGTCACACTCAAAACCCGGTACACAAATGGTCGACCCAGAACCATGCTTCAAGAACTTCGGCGGATCTCCGCAGCTATTTATGGCTGGGATCGTCCCTTAACCTTCATCTACCCGAATCGATTTTGAGCAAGTGACTCAAACTGCTGAAAGCAACGCCCGACCACTTGAAACACATGCAAAGCCAATCATCCGACATGCCACATCCTAGGCCTCAGGGTTTTCGACTCAGGGAAGGCAGCTCAAGCTCCGAAAAATTCGCCTGGATCAAAATCCTGGTAAAATGGTCGGGGCCCTGAACCAGCTAAGGAATTTGACGAGGCCCGTACGTCCCTTACTAACCTTCATCCACCTGAATCGGCTCTGAGGACATGGCTTACCTGTCGGGTGTTGGGCTTCTTCGATAGCTCCGGTCGAATGGATCGATTCTCTGGTGGACAGAAACTGCAGGACAACGGTTGCTTAGCTTCCCCTTACTTGGTGGCATGGGAGGGGTGAAAATCCCGAAGCTGCCAACCAAACGCGGAAAAACCCATCAAATGGTTGGCGCTTGCCAGTTTGACTACCAAAGTGAAACCAGCGGAATCCAGCGAAATGAATACCGATGATTGTAAGAATGTTATTTGGCACTTTTCAGGCTGCTTACTGAAGAACCCGCTACCAGCCGAAGGTAACACGGCCCGCCCAATCAACACCCATGGGCTGAAAGAAGGTCTGCTCATGCCTCATACCACGCTTTCCCATCAAAGCGGATGTCCTCAAAGGATTTCCTGCGAGGCTTATGGCGGTTTGCAAACCAGACGCCCTGAAGCCAAGAATGGGACAAAAAAAAGCCCTCGGAAAGTATGCTGCTGTTGAAGTTCCAAGCCGAAACTCACCTGCTGGGTGGATGGCCCAGAAAAAGTCCAAACTTCATATTAACCATTAAAATGGTCTTCCCAAAAAGTTTAAAGTTCATGAACTGAGGAAGTGAGGTTTTTGAAAAAGCCCAGGCACGAAGCCTTCAGTTTGAACCAATCCAGTTCGATTGTTGACTGCCAATGGAAACCGGACGAAAGCCCAAAGCGCCGCCACTTGCTCTCTGAGCCAACCAGCACAAAGAAAACAGGTCTCTATTGCTTGAACCCTTCACTTGTCACCCCGGGAGCTTCCTAAAGGGGCCCCCACCCACAGTTTGATTTCAAGAAAAGAGCACCAAGTAGACTCGTCCCAAATTCTCGCTCGAAAACAACGCCCGGTTCTGTGCCACTCACTGCCGCGAGGCCGAGTTCGCTCCGCGGCCGTTAAAATTTGGGCAAAGCAACGCCCGATGACCTGAAGTGAAGTGAACCACATCTTCCATTTGCTTTTTCGCCCCCTGGAAAGAAATAAAAATGTGTCCAGTATAGGCTCCCTCTAAAACCAACAGGGAACAAGTACATTCTTAAGCAAATGGAAGACATTGCGCGTGTTGGTCACAGTGTGACGCCCCGCGTTGGAAACAAGAACGCTGTCGGCGGGTCGGACAGACCACTCTCCCGGTCTTCTGAACATCGGTTGCAAAGTGAACCCGAGTGAGTCTTAAAGTGGGGGGAAGGTTCCCTCCGACTGGCCCTGGGCCCCTTACGTGCTTCCAGGAATACATTACTAGGTCCTCCAGTAGAGAGGTTAGAAAATGGGTACCCTTTTTTCTGTAGTCTATTTTAGTAGCGGAACCCTCCCCAAAAGGAAAAACGGGCACCACTGGGGGACCTAGACAGGCGGCCTTCTGGAAAAAATCCACGGCCCTGGTAAATCTAAACCCGTGGAACCCATCTACTTTGAATGCAGCTAACCGATCAAAAGGGTAATGGAAGCCCATCTAAGCCAGTGCCATCTGATTTGCTTTCCTACGCGAGGCACGAGGATGCCGTTGCCCTTGCACTTAAGCTGTCGTCAACCCTTTCCTCAGCTGGATTGGAAACCTCCCCATTTGCTTTTCGCTCACTGATTTGTGACAACATAACCAATCCCTGCTCATTTGCAGCTCACTATGCGGGAAAATCGGACCCTATCCATCGCCGAGCACCGCGTTTTTGCAGGCGGCTCTCGCCACCCCCGCGGGGCCCTCGGAGCTCTGGTGATTCGAGGAATACATGGCGCTCCGTGTGTGTTGCTTTAACTAGCCAGCTTTTGGGGGTCCCCCCCCCCAAAAAAAAGATACCAGGTGCACCACCAAAAACGTGCGTTTCTCCTCAAGCGCATGGAGAAAAAAAACATGGCTTGGGTCCCTGCCTTTGTGGGACATCCAGCTTTTCATGCCCCTCCCCAATAGACCACAAATGACCGGAGATGGCGATCGAGCCAAATCGAGCCTCATGTGCCTATGCCTGGGTTCCTGAGTGGCAGAGCTCCGAGCTCCTCCCTCCAAGACTCAGCGGGTCTGCCAGTATCTGGACTGCATTCCTGGGCCACACAGAACATGCGAAAGGGGAGAGAGCCGCCGGGCGGAGCATGTTTGAAACTCCCTAAACTTGCTGGTGCGATCGGCAGGGAATGAGGGAATGACCCTTCTCAACCATCCCCTGGCTCCCTTTCAGGGAATCCCTGGGTTCATTCCCACATTCCCTACTGAGCACCAGCAACTAAATGACATCTTTGAGGAATATATATGATAAGCAAAAACTGGTCTGGTGCTTAAAGGGAGTGCAATCCACCCGGAACGGATCTCAAACCTCCGAACTGCAGGGTTAAAACAGGGAAATCGATTCTGTTTTGATTCAAGGTGTGGAAGGAGGATCATTCAAAGCACCGCCAGCATCTGCCCACCACCGGTTGCTTGTTGCATAGGATGCTAAAAAGACCCCCAATATCAATCAAGTTACAATCAAGACCAGGAGGCTACCAAAGCCCATGGTAAACCAGAAAGGGTAGATATCCGCACCTGGATGGGACTCTCTTGCCAACCATCCACCCGGTGTTCGATGGCTCGGACCGAGTCATCGGATTTGGAAAAGGGTCTTCCATGTGAATGGTGGTTGATAGCGCCTTTCAAAACTACTCTGATGCTTGTGCACTAGAATGGGTCCAAGTCTGGATACTTGCGGGTACCGACAAGAATTGTTGCTTGTGTGACGCATGAAGTCAAATTGCCTAATCAATTGATAATCAAAAAAGAGAAAGAAACGCCTAACTCCAAAAGCTTCCCGTGACCAGATTTGAGATGAACAAATGGATGACCGAGGATGCGACGCCAAACAAATCCTCAACATCGGTGTTTGTGTGTTCGCCGAAAGTGAAGGACGCTGGGGCAAGGGCAACCAAACGTGGCAACAAATGGCTGTCTTTTCTTGAGACAAAGTTGTTTGGGTAGGCTTAACCGAAACGCAAGGGACAACATCCATAGTCAGAGTTTGTTTGGCTTCTAGACATCTTGGACGGTCATTTTCTTGAGGCCACCTTTGCGCCAAACCAAACCCACTTTTGCCTTCGCGGAAATCCGCGCCATGAACAGACATGTGCAAAACAGCCCCTGACGGTCCCTGCAGGTCCCGACCCCGTTTTTCCCCCAGGTGAAACGCGCCGCTTCAACGAGGCTCTCAGAAAGGGGTCGGGGGCAAGCGACGGGACACCATGCATCACACCTCTCCGCCCATGAAAATGAAGCTCAAACTCTAGAGGTTGAGATTTGAGGGCGTCTTGAAAAAAAAAAAAAAACATCCAGCTGGGTCTTTGATACGGGAGTCTCTCAAGGGTACCACAAGTTGAAACCCTTGCCCTTTATTTCCACCAAGACTAACTGCCGACTCCCGAGAAAACGCCATGTTTTAGGCCGATCCCGGGGAAGAAATGGCCACGGGTCAAAACCCCGTACCCCCAGTGAACATCCGATTCAATCCCCGTTCTAAAATAGGAAGCCTAAAATGGGTTGTGCACCGAAAACCCCCCAAATTCCATCCCAAAACGGTTTTGAACCTGCCAAATGGAAGGACCCAGGTGGTGGTTTCCTTTTTCCGGGCACCTGGCCTCCCGCCGCGCGAGAAGAAAAATCGGAGCCAGGGGGCCGAAGCTGGCACAGATCAGCTGCGGCTGCTTGGAGGAGGTGATCCAGCGCAGGAGCCCGTCCTCGGGTCTGGGTCTGGCTGGGTATGAGTGGGGGGGGGAGGGCGGGAAGGGGTGGAGGGGGGGGGAGGGTAGGGGGCGTTGGGGGTCTGAGGGTATGAGGGTAGGGTCTGAGAGTCTGAGGCTCTGAGGGTTTCAGGCGCGCAAAGAGGAACAACATGTTCAACCTGGGCTAGGCCTTGCCAGTGGTGCAAAAAAAAACGCGACAAGGGTTCCGAGAAGGCGATGTTCACAAAAAATAAAGTCTACTCTCCGAGTTAGGCGCGGCGAATGGGGAAAGGTCTGAGCCCGACACCAAAGAACTCCTAGACGCTCTTGCGTTGTTGCGTGTCAGCTAGTGTCGTCACAGAAGCCGTGTTCGCCATGGTCGCTATGGGCATTGACGTGTCCCGTTGCATTTGAATTTAGCGAGTAAACCCCAGCCTTCCCCTGGACATTTGGTGCGTGTATTATGTCACCCTCTTTGCAGAAGATGACCGTACAAAGCCTGAGACGCCAAAAGTGACTCGTAAGTTGTGCCTTTCTTTCTGCCTGACTGCATCATTGGAGGTCCATAAAACGCCAACACAGGGTCTTTTTTCTTTGGCATACCTCAAGAAGCCTGCAATCTCAATGGCAAAGTGTGAAGATATTATGTGAGGATTCAAACATGGCTCCTTCTTTTCTAAGTTGGCTTCCTTTTGATTAACCTAACCCCTCAAAAGAAGACACACCATCACTCCAGATCTGCCACTTAAGCAAAGTTGTGCAACGTCAACCTCGCACCAATCCGGACCCTACTTGTTGGGTCCGGACCCACAAGAACTTCCTTGCTAAAAGGGACCCTGAAAACTTGCTGGTGCTCAGCTGGGATTGAGGGCACCCCGAGAAACCATTTGTGACTTTGTTCCAGGGGACTCCCCATTCCTTCATTCCCTATGCTAGGTCCTCCAGACTTGAGAGGTTAGAATAAGGGTACCAACTTTTCTCTGTTGTCTATTTTAGTAGGGGAACCCTCCCAACCAAAAAAGGGGAGAGAAGGGCACCTAGCTGTGGGATCTACCTATCGCACCAAGAAAGCTCGGCGGTCCGGAACAAATCCGACAGGAGGAACCTCCGGCACCCGGTTGCGCCAAGCAGCTCCAGCCGAAAACCAAGCACCTCGGATGCCGTCTGTGCTCTTTGGGGGAGGTTTCGCTCGGGGTCTGCGACGTCACAAAGAGGAAGAAGACACAAAGAGGAAACCATGTAAGAACGGGTCCTTTTAATCTAAGTGACCAAAGAGGACTTTGCAAGGAAAACCTGCGGCCATGTTGTTTTTCTGTTTTAAAAGAACTCCGGCCATCTTGTTTTTTTCTGTTAAAACAAAAGAAGAAAAAGAATGAGTCCAAACAAATGAGGAGTCATTCTGCCAGCATTCAGCTGACAGATCCACATTCTTCCGGCTGAAGCAATGCTTCCAGATTCATGTCTCATGCGTCACACCTGGCTGTCCGTTTTCGGATCGTTTCTCCGAAAAAACCCGCGGCGACCTCGCGGGTGACATTCGGACACCCGACCAAACCCAACGAGCTACAAGCCCACGGAGCCGGATAGGAGCACCGGGCATCCGGTGCACAGCTTCATGCGTCACATCGCAGAAGCATGCATCTCAAAACCCAAGCCTCTTATACCTCTAGTTGAGAGACGAGTTTGTTCCCTTGACGTTGTGCCCATCAAGCGGTGACTCGCAAATTGATGACCAGCATGCTCCAGCAGCACTTTGAACTGCACACCACCTCTGTTCCTTGTCCTTTTGGACAAACAAATGGCACTGGCAATTCATCAAAGGCACATGGAGATCAGTGGAATCTGACTTTGTTTGGGGGGGCAGAGGGCCACCCTTTTCGGGTTGCTGGCCATTTCTAGCCAGGACCCAACGAAGACAACGGGAGAAGGGCGGCATCCACTGAACAACAAGAAAGTTTAAGGACGCCTGTCTACTTCCATTTGCTTAAGCTACCTGGAAATAAGGATTTAAAAAAGCACTTCCAGTAGTGATAGATTCCCTTTAAAAAGAACGAGGGACAATAAAACAAATCTTCATTTCAGCAAATGGAAGTCTGCAAATTCTAGCACTAACTGAAAGGGATCCCACAGTGGGCGGGCAAAGCCTTCACTCCATTCCTCCACATGGCGCGTCTTTTTTGCTGGGGGGGTGGGGGAGTACCTTTTTTTGGGTTGAAACCAAAAAGGAAAACCAACCTCAAAAAGATTTACCGACATACCCATCGTCCTTCAACACCTGTCTGGGATCCCCCAAGAAGGGGCCCTTCACGGATTTCTGCGCTTTTTACCTGAACATGGTGTGATCGGGACCCATCAACTTCCATTTGCTTGAGCCCCCTGGAAAAAAAATGCTTCCAACAGTGATAGATTCCCTTTAAAACCAACAGGGCAAAGAAAAACTTAAGCAAATGGAAGTCAAATGTTTCACAGGTTTTTCCTCATTTACCGTACCCGAAACCGGTGGAACCGCTCGTTTGACCCACTGATCGACCGACTGCTGGCCACGGCACTTCGGACCTGCTTGCCGGCTGTGCGGCCAGCAGTGGCGATCTTCTCTGGTGCGGTCATACTGCGCCGGAAGTCCTCACGTGTCCGCAAGCGGGGGACGCGGGGGGGGTAACGGGTAGGCTGTTCTTCCTCCTTTTATTTGGGGGGGGGGGGGGGACCAAGACAACAGGTGAATATTGGGATTCGTTCGAACCCCGAAAACAGGCTTTCTTTTTGGGTTGTCCCTTGAAACCAGGCTGAAAAGGGTACCCGCAACAACACACACTCATACATTGAAGCCAGGGTTTCATCCATCCACAAATCAAACGACAAATGTTATCCCCCAACAGAGAACGGGGATGAAGCACAGAGTACCGAAGCGCCTTTTCCAAATCTCATGTGGGTATATCTCGTATTCGGGGACCATTTGGTGGAAACCATTTGAATGGGGATTTACAACAGCACTTGAGGAGCTGCCCCATTCCGGTCCACAAGAAAAATATATTGTAACCCCCATCTCTAAGGCAAACCCCCATAGGAAATTCAACACAAAGAGCCGTGCCGGCAAGACATTCCAATGCCGCGCCCATATTCCCATGCGCACAATCCAGTCCGTGATTGGCTTAGCTGCTCCTGATTTAATTTGAGCGGAGCCCTCCCCCAACACCCCCCACCCTGCTGAGCCACGAAGAATGTATGTTGGTCTCCAAGAGCACCCACTCAGATCTCACTCATGACGTGAACCCCAAAATCATCGAAGGAAAGGTGTCCCGCCCGAATCTTCCCCTCACTTTTTGTTACCCAACAAAAAAAAAAGAAACAGTCCCCCAGTCCCCCGATCCCAACCTTGGCATGGCTGGCAGAGGGCAGCTGCTCTGTCTTCCCCCGCTTCAAGTTGAGCTCCTGGCGGTGCTCTGATATTAGAACCCCAGCAAAGGGCTGCCAGGTGACTGGCATTTTCAACATCTGCCAGAACTGGGTCGAAGGTGATATATATATATATATATATGTACATGTGTGTATGTGTTCATCTCTTTCTCGTTTGTGTACATTTATGTATGTATATACGTCGGCATGTGGCAATGTGTCAAACCATGAGCTTCTCTGAGCTCATGTTCAAGGAAAGCCAACACGGTCGCCCGTTCGACAAGTTTGAACGGCGGTTTTGACCATGCTCACAAGTAGAAAGGCATTGGTAGGCACTTGCCTCCTTCCAGAAAGAACCCTCGCAGAGGGTCATGCGGTCTCAACAGCACTCTGAGAAACACCACTGATAGATGTTACTATCTCACACGAAGCAGACTGCGTGGCTGCTTTGCGCTTGTTAGGTGCCGTGAAGAGCTCCCCACATCAAGCAAAACGCATCGCACTCATTGCACATGTCAGTGCCTGAAAGCCAGTCCGGCGGCTCCAAATAGTCGAGTCAATGTGTGAAAATCAACAGCAGGCTCGCACATGTTGATCGAGATGTGACACGATATCTTCAAACAATCGCCCCTGCGACCCACCCGCGCGCATGCGCGCGCATGCGCCTTGGTCTTCACAAGCACCACGTCGCAGTCGTCGGCCTGAATGCCCACGGCCTCCAAGCTCGAGAAGCTCGATGCAGACTTTTGGAGGGTTGCTTACATACCTCCAAAAACCCGTGCATGAACATAGGCGTCCTTTTAGGGGAAATAGATGGGTTTCCCTGGTAGATGAAATTCAACCACCAGGTAAACCAGGAATCGAAACCCATCTGTGCTTCTCTGTGGACGGTTGCGAAATCCAAATGGAACCCCATACTATGGAACCCCATACTGGAACCCCTAATATTTTTTCCCTTGAAGCTTGGGGTGCAAGGTTTGGGCTTATTCCTTCAACCTTCGCGGCTTGCGTGCGGATACATGACGCTGTTTCGAGCAACTTGAGACTTCAAGGGTAATCTAGGTCCTCCAGATTTGAGACTTTCGGACCGATTCCTATTCTTGAGCCGCACCCCTTTCTGTCGACACCAACATGGTTGGCATTCCCATGACTACTTTATGAGACTCCAGACTTGAGAGGTTAGAACAAGGGTACCCGATTGTTTTTCTGCAGTCTATTTTACTGCGGGAACACCGAATCTCCCAACCAAAAAAGGGGGTGAGAAAGGGCACCTAGCTGCAAAGCCATGCTTGAACTGCCTGATATCAAGAACTGCCTGGGGCTTCCCCAGAACAAGCTTCCCTTCAAAGCCCCAGGAAAGACCATCAAACACATACTGTGGATGGACGAAATCCTGCACCACTTGGAAACCATGGGAAACCATTGCTTATTGGCATATTCAGGGGATTCATCATTCCAGCGTTTCTTAGGTGGTGCAGGATGTCGTCCATCCGCAGTATGTATATATATATATATAAATAATGATTGGGGTCAAAACTATGAAAATGACGTGACTCCCTTAGGACTCATTCTGTCCAAATTCCTAAGGGGGTCATGACCATCCCGTGCCTCATGCGAAGGGATCTTCGCCGAGGAATCTACCCCCCCGCCTTCGTTGTCAGCAAGGTCGGCGAGGCCTCCGCCTGTTCGCCAGCCTCGGCCTCGGTGCGTTTTTCTCGGGCGGCCTTGAGACCGCCAAGGGCCGTGTGCTTGGGCTAAGCGGCTACCCATATCAAGACATGGGCCCCTCCACTTGGATGCTCGTTAGGGTAGTTAGTGGCCAACGCCACCGGGGTGCTACCCCGCTTATGACTGGGTCAACCCACTTAGGGGGATTTACAACACCCAGGAGACCGACAACTGACTAACTTGGCCCAATACCCAAGCATATCCCCCCCCCCGCGCCAGGCTGATGAACGTCATAGGTCGTGAAGGTAAGATAAGGACCGAATGCAAGTGGCCAAAGTGTCCGGTTGTCCAACGTACTTTCTACTTGTTCGGACCCGCATAAGTCTCTCCCGCGGAAACTGCCGCTCGTCTATTGGCTTTGGGAAAGCGGGGGACTCGACCCGGACTCGACCCATCGCCTTGCCATCGACATCTGCAACGCAACATGGGGGGCGTCTCAGTCGCACGGTTTTGAGGTTCACCACGGGACGGCTTGAGCGGTCCCGGTGGTACCTGGAGGGATTTAAACCCGCCCAACTTGGGTGCGACCAGGTTATACTGTCCGAGCAACTCACCGTTACTCCATACCATTGCCTATGGGGGGCTTCTCAAAATGGCGCGCGCACCCCCGTTTTTTGGGTTTGAAAGGAAGCCCAAAGGAAACCAACTTTTCGGGGGACGACAATTTTGAGAAACCCCCACATGCTGTTTGCTCTTTGAGCTGTCGGGGTTTTCTTGGAAGAGGCACTTCACTGAACCGACCCCAAAATTCCGACTGAACCGTATTTGCCAGCCACATGGATCCGAACGAGCGGCCCTCTTTTCATGGTGGCTCTCTGTTTCCCTCCCATCCAAACAGCAGGTCCCTATTTTAGGAAGTCATCACAAAACCTGCCGTGGTTGGAAAAACAATTCCAGAGGGAAACTGGATCTCAACCAAGCGGCGTGGTTGGAAAAGTAGGCCTCTCCTGGTCTCAAACCCGCGCAGTGGGTATTTTTTGATCAGGCATACACAGAGCAGAACCGACGAGCTCTTGTGCCACCTCCAGGCGGTTATTGCAAAAGGCCACACAACCCTTCCATTTGGTTAAGACCCCTGGAAAAAATAAGAATATTTCCAGTAGTGATAGATTCCCTTCAAAACCAACAGAGGAAACTAAAAAGAATAGTCTTAAGCAAATGGAAGAATCTTCGGGGCGCGCGCTTCCGCCCCCTCCGCCCCCTCCGCCCCCTCTGCCCCCTCCGCCCCCTTCCGCCAAGGGGCATCATTGGCACGAAGGCAGGGCATGGCCAGACGGGGAGTGCGCCTGGCGGCCCCAGATTTGGAACCCAAAATTCAGCGCTCGAAGCGCATGGGTGTCGTTCTTGAGGAAGCCCTTTGTTTGTGGTTTTAAGGGACACCAACAGACAAACCGATCATTTTGGCAGTCCCCTAACAAAAAAAAAACATCCTCGTTTGGGTTCTGCCAAGTTCGAGGCTTGTGCGGTTGACCGACACAAGCCAAGTCGGGTAGAGTCTGTTTTGCGTGTGTCGGCCCTAAACGCTGTGTGGGCGCCTGCGCCAGTCAACGTCGCAAGCATCGACGCGGAGTGCCTACGGAGACTTTTGTCGGGCTCTACTTTGCAGTTTGTGCAAGGCAAAGCATGCCTACACGAACCTGCCTACGCGATCGTTTTCCCCACCAAAGCGCGGCATAAAGAGAGGTCCCCACGAATACTAAGCGAATACAACACAAGAAAACCCTCCTCAAGTAGCAATCCTTACTTGGGTGTTCGGCCAAGTTAGAAAGTTGTCTGTAAACTAGGTCGCAACCCACTTATTAACCTGGCTGAACATCCAAGTAGTGTTTGCTGCCAAGCATGGGAGTTAGGTGCTGCTCACTGAGTGATGCTGCGCTGCGGCGTTCTTCACAACCATTAAAGAGTGTCTCTTCTGATGTGGATTGCGTTCACCCATTCTTCCCTGCTCTTCAATGAGTGCGGTATTGATGAATTAGGGGTCAGCATACGTCAGAAGATGAGTGGACATGCTTGGCTCTCTGTCTTGGTGGTGCGTTGATCCATTGCTAAAAGTGAACAACTGCTTGTGGGAAACCACACATTCCTCCAAGCTTTGAAGTCAAAAAGTGTGCCATGAAGTCCATGCACAGAGTACGAGGTTGCGCAGCCCTGAACCAGTACGTTGGGCCATGAATTGCTTCTGACCCATCTGCCACGTTCGTCTCACTAGTCCTTTCAACAACAATCTGGGTAAGTCTGAGAACAGCCAAGGTCTCTTGCTGCGCACCGCATCTGGCAGGCATTTCCAAAGATAGGGATCGGCTTCGTTCTGGGAAACAAATGATTTCGCCCGCGAGTCGCTTTTTGCTTCCTGGATGTTCCGGGGTTAGCGGACTTTTTTCCGGACGAGTTGGCCGAAGTCCGGCAGCGAGATGGGCGTCGAGCCTATTGGCTTGGGGAGTGAATCACCCTGTGGAATCTTGACAGAGCGAGGCCTGCGGCAGGCCTCGCTCGCCTCGCGCAAGTCACCTTGGGGACCATCCGCCTAAGATCTCTGCGGAATCCTGGGACGCAACTCCGAGAAAGCTTGGGACGCTTGGACGCGCTGTGCGAACCGCTCTCACGCTTGCGCTCAATTTGTGCGAGTGTGCAGGGCGGACTTTCCTGGACCTCACGGACACCCTTGGACAAGCATGCAGAACGGGAGGAGGTGAACCTTTTGCTGGGTCCATCCGTTTGAGTGGAGAAAATGTTCGGCCCAAGAGCCCGCCGCTGCACCTTTTGCACAAATTTCAGGAGCAGTCGTTAGCAGTGACTGGGATCCTCCATTCTTCCCGCTATTTATATTTTTCCCGGATTCATCCACCTCCAGAATCCGGACGAAGAGAAGGAGATAGGTGTGGATGGGTCTCGTTCTCCCATCCCATCCCTCTCAGGCAACGGTGGGTGTCTCCATACTCAAAAGGCGAGGTCACAAGACCTGGCTGCTTCCAGTGGCATGAAGCCTTTGGATTTAGGACGGTTGCACTCTGAGCTATGAACATATCCAATACCAAAAAAGATCCGGCCTTCACACCTGTGACTCACTGACAGTCACCTTTTGTGGGAAATTCGGGTTCTCCCACGTCCTCCCCAAAGCAACCGCACGCTACCAACATTTGTCCAAACTGCTCCTCTGATGGAATTATATGATGCGCGACTCCTGCCGCTGTGTTGGAGTGCACTAGGCCCCCATGACCGCTGGTCACACTGCCAGTGTGTGCACAAATATGCTGCAATGTCATGTCTACAGCTTGCAAGTGGAAAAACTGCGGATGAACAAAATCCTACACAGTTGCTGCATGGTTTATCCCACTGGTCATAAATTGTCATCCAAGCCGAGTGCGCTGTGACGCCAATATGCTGAACTTGAACAAATAGCATCAATGGACTCAATGGCTTCTCGGTGCTATCTATTCAAATCACTCAGTGTGCCATCCAAAAAAACTCACCCCCCCCCCTCCCAACAAAAGAAAACGTTCCTTCTCGTCGCCAAGAGATATTCATGGATGTGTGCAGCCGGTGACAATGGAGGGGTGGAGGGAGCAAGCACCATGTCATGTTTCAATTGGGTACTTTCAAAGGAAACCAGGGGGGGGGGCCATTTTGACACATACCAACACAACACCTTCTTCTGCATGAACTGCCAGGCATCGTTCACTTCATTCTTGTCACCCGGCGGTCCGCGCCTCGAAACGAAAAGCGAGCCTTTCAAATGTCTATCGGGAACCGAAACGGCTGCAAGATCAAGGCTGGCGTGCGGTGGAGCTTCAACGGACCCGGATTTTGAAGGCTTCGACAAAAATGGAAAGACTGCTGGCCTTTGGAATGCGCAGCCCCGTGTCTATTCCCCCCCTCCCCAAATAAGCTCAGGTGATATCCCCAACAGCATGCGGTGCTCTTTTTAGTGCTCGCACCACCCCGCAGCCCTCGCAGCCCTCGCAGAACCTGGTGGAACCCTGGTGGAAACTGGTGGAACCCTCGTGGAACCTTACCTCAGGGCCGCCCCGGATCACCCCGGAGCCTATCTGGGCTGAGACCCCAAAGCTTTCAGCTGTTGGGGAAAAAAAGAGGGATGTCTTTATGATGAGTGTATCTCAAAAGCTCCTGACGCCCAGCAAGTACCGGCGCGGCAGCACGGAGTGAAACCCAGAGAGGCGCAGCAGCTCGGGATGCAAACGGGTTTGTTCATATGCGAGGGCTCTCACCGCACGGACCCTTCCAACGGGCCAAAGCTCCGAAAGTCACCCTGTTGGGTAAAACACTGGACCACTAACCCTTATCTTGCGGGCTTCCTCCTACTTCGATAAAACAGGGTTCACTTGGTTTGATGTTTACACACATAGGCGGAACTGAGGTTTTTACCCACCATGCGAGTTTTAAACAAAAAGCGAAACAAAACACTGTTATGAACAACATATCGGTCTGAGACCGTAAGGGTAACATAGGAGATGCAGGCGTCAAAACTTGTTTGTTCCCAGCTCGCCTGCTAAAAGTCTAACTTTTGTGGCTTAGTGGAAAACTACCTTTAAACAAAGAAAAAGTCAACCCCCCCCCCAAAAAAAAGAAAGAACAGAAAACCAACTAAAACGTGTGTGATCAGTGAAACCACACTGAAAAAACTGGAGCACAAAAGCTGGGGGCGTCCGTCCTTCTGTTCCTTGTGCTGCAGCCCGAGAAAGAGCGGCAAGTTGTCACCTCGGGGCTTGCAGCTTGGTCTCTGCAATCCGCCCGTGTTCCGATCCGCGAAAGGTGACGACCTTTTTGTTGGCTGAAATGGAAATTTCCAAGCATTAAACCCCAAAAAGCCAAGGGGATGGCTGGAAACCACCAAGAACCCCCAAAAAGCTTGTAAGTCGCCCAACCCTGTTCAGCACGGCCCTGTTTGAAGTGCTCTTTCACTCTTTGTCGATGGCTTCCAAGCCAATTGAGAAGCGCGTGCGGGACGGGTCCAATGGAAAGCCGAGTTGTGCAATGTGCTCAACGGATCGAACACCCATAGCGATGGTGTTTTTCCTTGGCTATGTTCGAAATAAGAATTGGACCCCAAAATGGTGGCGTTCCTGTTGGAGTCGCTTTCAACCAAGCTGAAACTTGTACCTTGTTAACAAAAACTGCACTCGTACATACAGAACAGGTTCTGCGCCACACCCAAGTTGAGGCGAAGCGGTCTAAGCTTCAATTCCCAGCCCACTCTGACCTGACCAAGTGGATCCCGGATAGCACAATAGTAGGTTCCTTTGGTTCTTTAAAGGCTGGTTCCGTTGATTGCCTGCTCTACAGGCAAATGGACTCACTGGGTGAGTTGAAACTTGGGTGGCCTCAAAACCTTTCCAGAGGTCTGGACCTGCCCCAAAACCAAAATTATTCACAACCCAAACAGTATGGGCCTGCAAAAAAACAGAAAACCAAAGATCACAACACGTGCCAAGAACAGTTTTTGGAAACGTTCAAAGCTTCAGGTCTTCCTGAGACCACACATGCTCACCCCCCACTGGAGCCTTCGGTTTCTTTCGGCCCGACGAACCAAGCGACAGATCCGTTTTTGTTGGCCCAAACGAACCAAGCGATCCGAGATCCCAAGACGCCGACACACGTCCACAGCGTCCGCGAACTTCAAGGGCTCTTCGGTTGCCTACCGGCTACAGCGGGACCCAAGGAATTGTCTCGGGGTTGAGGACGCAAGAGCATAGGTGTACTTTCAGGTTGGAAATAGATGGATTTTTCTCGTAGATGATTAACCCACCAGGTAAACCAGGAATCGCCATGTTGAATTCCGAAGCCAGGAAGAGAAAAACTGATTTGTAACTTGAAGCACGTGTTCCAAAAGAACTGAAGCCTTTCTGACAGCGTAACCTTCCCTGGACGGCCTCACTGTCATGGGCTGCCCAAGAACACGAGAGGGAGAAGTTCATCTCAAGTGGAACTGGTCCATCCCCGGATTTTCTTTCTCCCGGGCCCTGCAAAAAGCTGCCGCACGGAAAGGAAATCCGAGACCCACCCCGCACGCAAAGAACCCCCGGACGATGCTGAACTCAGGCGTTGGATGACTTGGGCTATCCAATGAATACCCTCCCACCCCTTTCCAGAAAGAAGGTGTTCTGTGCCACTCGCACAGAACGAGGGGAGCTTCTCTTTCCAGATGGATTTCTTCAAAAACCCTCCATAGTCAGCTTCCATCGAACATTTCGGGCAGAGCTGCAAAAGAACGGCGCTGAAGCTTGGGCTGAAGCCCGACACGGGTCAAACCCATTCCTGCAGCCACGGTAAAGGTGATTTGCTGAGACCAAACAATTGGATGACTACTTTCTCGCCTTCGAAAGCCTCGAAACCAATGTGACTCCGTGAGGTCGCTTCGAAACTTCAAGCCTTCCTTCTCACAGCTCGACTCAGGTGCCGCAAGCTTTCAGCTGATTGGCTCAATATAGCAAAATATTGTGCAACATGGGTGCTGCCACCTGAAGACCTCTTCAGAGGCTCCCCTCCAAAACCTCACACACACACACCGGAAAAAAAAAGAAGCAAAAAAAACAATCAAACCAAAAGTCAAAGGACCTGACCCCGACTCCGCGCAGATGGCATTCCTTGGCCCAACCGGCGATTTCAGTGCCTTCTGTGCTGCTTTGGCAAGTACTGCCGTGAGGTACCTCGCCGCAGGGCCAACATGGCAAAGTCAACCGGGCTTCAACCGGGCTGTCCGTTTTCAGCTCTCCTTCGAATTTGTGACTAACTTGTGGATAAAAATCGGAAACCCGACCAACTAAAAGCGACTACAAACGAACAAAAAATTCAGATCTGACAAAAGAGACGAACTTGAATTCGGAGAAGAAACAAATCGGAACCCCCACCACAAAACAAAAACAACCCAAGGAACCGGGCTGGTTGAACCACGTCGAGTTCATTGAGCCGCTTTTCGTCTGCTCCCCTTTCTTTCGGGACCGGCCATCCACTAGGCTATCGTGTCTGAAGAATGGCCGCCCTTCCGAGGCTCCAGGGGTGTTCGCGAATCCCCCCGTGAACATCAGCTGGTCACTAAAGGGGGACTCCTTTTGTTTGAACCCCTGCTTGGGTTCCATCTCAATTCACAACAAGTAATTTGTATGATTCCACAGCTCTCGCATGTTGGCTGAGTCATCTCCTTTGCTTACCCACGTGCAGGCAACTGCGTCATCTACTTTCACTCCGGTGAAACATTGTGCTTCTGCTCTAAACAGGATGGATTGTGGGTTCCAGCTAGAAAGGGATGAATTCATCACCAGAAAAGGGAACCGCCCGTTTCTAAGATATGGTCCTCCAAGCTAATGCGAAGTCAACATATAACCTGATTGTTCACAACTGTGCTCCCTACATTTCCCCGTGAAACATCACTCTTACCAAGTGATACTCACCTTATATGCGCCAAAACGGTGGAAGTTCAAAACCAAGAGGGACAGTGTATTCTAGCCCCGGTCGCAACATGCACATGTGTTCCAAAGTTCAATGCACGGTCTCGGAGTTGGCAGGCGACTCGGAGTCGCAAAGGCTCCAAGCAGCTCCCACCAAAAAGCCGTTTCAGCCAATGCACAATAATTCGATGGATTCATTTGCGCACATTCGATCAACTTTGCTTGCTGGTGATCAGCCGGAAATTAGATAAATGGAAGGACCCAAGAAAAACCATCCCCGATTTGGTTTCCTTTCAGCGAATCCCAAAACGGTTCATTCCCTGATTCACTACTTTTCGGGAGACGGATTCCAAAGTGAGATCATGCCCCTCCCAGGCTGGCGCGCAAACAGTTCTAGGCAATCCCACTTGCTGTTTCAACACTGCAAAAGAGCCGTATCAGCAAGCCAACGAGGGTCTGTGGAACGAGGGCTACGTTGATCCTTAGGTGTTGCGTAGACAAGTACTGGAAGATACCAAAGTGCTGAAGATTCTCATGACTTCGCTCGAAACTGTTGCCCTTGAAACCTTTATCATGACTCCTTCACCCGGCTAAAAACCACTGTCACCAGCATCGAAACCCAAGTTGTCCACAGCTCACTCCAACCAGCCAGCCGCTTGGGCACTCGAAGAGCTGACCCGCTCGCTGCTTCACCTCGGCGAGGCCATGTCTTGCTTCATAAAGCTGGGCCGCCCGCTGTCCGATCCCCAGCCAAAAGTTTGACGAACTTTTGGTGGGTGAAATTCGGAAATCCAACCACCAAACCAACTAAAAAGCGAAAAAGCGCAATGGAACCGGATGGCTGGGCTTGCCACCAAGACTAGGTCCTCCAGTAGAGTGGCTAGAATAAGGGTACCAACTTTATTCTGTAGTCTATTTCAGTGGGGGAACCCTCCCAACCAAAAAAGTTTGCAAAAAGGGCACTACTGGGGGAACCTAGAAGTTAAAGGTCAGTACTGGCCAAAGGGCCCAGCGTCGGCCAGTCCTTTCGGATCCCTATCCTTCTTTCAAGAAAGCTTCGCTCTTGGTCAACTGAAGCGCAACTTTGGCTTCCTCCACGCGCCGTTTCGTCTCCTGGAAAAAAGAAAAACAGTGTCAGTAATAGGTTCCCTTTAAAACCAAGAGGGACAAATAACCAACATTCTTGTCAGCAAATGGACGCGTGTCGAGAAACACAATCCAAGAAATCCACTGATCTACAAACGTTCCGGATCCACAGTGCCTATGGGCAACTTGTCAGGTGCGGCGAAAAGCGCCTGGCAATGAAACAGAAACGCTCCCAACAGCCCCTTGGATTGGAACGCTTCGGGAAGGCC